CAAAAGTTCCATAATAAACTTTGAACATATTGTAATTCAGGTGGTCTGAGAGAAAACCAGACTTTTGCTCCTCCTCTTGGCTTCTGTTTTCAGATCTTGGAAAATCTAACCTGTCACAGGAGACTTTGGCTAATCACAGGCCATTTCAGAGAGAGAGCGCTCCTATTGGCTGTTTAACAGATGCAGATGTACGTGCACGTCCAAACTGCCTAAACTGCAAGGCAGCGCAAAAAAAGGAAGATAGACTAATAAAAAAAAAGAGTCAAAAAGAGAGTCTGGCAATAAACGAAAATGATGAATGAAAATGATGCTAATAGTTTAGCTTACTGCCAACTGGAGCTAAAAGGTCATGGCTGCGGCATCAAGTTCACATTTATGTAACGTAAGCTAATGTTAGCCAGAGCCTCAAATTAGTGTGTCTTTAGCCTCACTCCCCACCACTACAGACGACCTCGCCAGAGGGAGACTAACAGCAACCCAAATCCAGCCAGTTCAGACCCAAGCTCATTTTAGTTCTGGCAAACTGACCTACATCTTTCCCAACTCCAACAGAAGCTTAAAACCTGTTTGAGGAAACAAGTGAAACAAACTGAGCTGTTGTGTCTGTGACTCTCTGGGAGACTGGCAGGTGACTCAGTTTGTATTTACTGATTTCCACACTCACATACAAACATGCGCAAATACATGGTGTCAGTGTTTCCCTGAGGATTATTTTTTAGCAGGGTAACGTAATGACTTTGCTGTTTGGTTTAGGATACAGGACTTTACTGTCCATGAATGCATCACCTTCTATTAAAGGAGAACTATTATGCTCTTCCTCTTTTCTGACCTATAAATGTTGTTACAATGTTGCATACTCGTGTTAAACGATGCCAACGTGTCAAATAATGAGGTTCGTGCATTTGGAAGTGAGCCCTGCAAGCTGTTTTGGATGGCTCTGCACGCTCTGTTTTACAGTCTTTTTTAAAACAGTGTAGTCCATGTGACGTTAATGCATGCCAGACTTACTTGCATGCCGGCAGCGCTCGGCAGCCCTTCGGAAGCCCTCAGGAGTGTGACCAATCACAGCGGAGTGGGCTCGGCGGGAGGCGAGGGCCAGGGGATGGAGTAAATTACACAGACCGTTTTCGCGGGATGCAGGAAATACAAGGAAGCAGTGCAGTGAGAGGCACAGCGTCCTGAAGATCTACAAAGGTTTGTGTACAGGTAATCGTGTGTATCTGTAAAATGTCTGGTGATCATGTCACCTAATCATTTACGACTAAAACCTACCCTGGAAATCCAGAGTTCTCACGAGAGCACAATTTGAATTTGCTCAGCGAGTCACTCTGGCAATCAGTAATGATGCTCATTACCCATGCCGTTGGAGCCAAGCTGCACCAATCACATCTGTGTATCTGATATAGGCAGGCCAGAGGCAAGCTAAGCAGATGACGACAGCGCTGCGATGACGAAGTCCGGAATCAGTCAGTAAACACTGCAAGATGGCTACGTATGAACACCAGTTGTTTGAAACGGCTTTGGCCGCTACAATGAACGAGTTAGACTTGGCTTTTTCTCTAAACGAGGAACAGAAGACGGCGCTCGAATCTTTGCTTTGCAAGAAGGACATTTTTACTGTTTTGCCGACCAGATACGGCAAGAGTCTAATCTACCAGTTAGCTCCACTGGTAGCTAAGCGCTAAGTATTGTTCTGATTGGTTGTAGTGTTACCCAATTGCGTGCAGTGATATTTTCAAATGCATGCTTGGTGCCGCCCCTCGAGTTCAGCCATTTTCATTAATCATAGCCAGACCCTAAATCTTTCTAGATCTAACCTAAATCTAAAATGGGTAAAAAATTAAAACCACCACCAGTGAGGGGACCAAGGGTCAGAGTTACTGTACCATGACAGTGTTCAAGCATCGAGAGAACACTAAAGTACTCACTAAAAGTAATGAGAGATGTGAGCCACACAGAGAGTTAGACGTTTTCTTTCACATGACGCCAGCCTTTGTTTTTGGAGTTTAGCCTCTATCCTGTGTCGATACCTGAAACCCTGAATTGGCTTCTACTACACTTAAAGTCGACCTCACAAACAAAAGCTCTCTTGTAATCAGACAAGAAAAATGCCAAAAACACATTTACTGTCCCATTCCATTCCTCTGCACTGAGACACTGTGCGCACCAGGTGAATGAGAGCATCCATTTACAGTCACAATGTTACAACCAAGGCATCTGTATGTATGGAACAACATGAGGACAATGAGATATACTGTAGAAAACATGACTGCTGCTGCAGAGTAGGGCTGCCACTAATGATTATTTTCATTGTCAACTAATCTGTCGATTATTTCTCCGATTAGTCGACTAATCATTTCATTGAAAAATGTGTTAAAATGTTGAAAAATGTCGGTCTGTCTCGCCCAAACCCCAAAATTACGTCATCTAATGTCTTGTTACATACTCACACCAAAGGGTTTTAGTTCACTGTCACGGGAGAGTGTGTAAAGCTGCCAATATCTGAACGTAAGAAGCTGCAGTAAGAGTATTTTGGGGTACTTTTATAGTACTTTTCTATGAAAAATGACTCAAACCGATTAGTCGACTACTAAAATAGTCAACGAATATTTTAATAGTCGATTAGTCATCGATTAGTCGACTAATTGTGGCAGCCCTACTGCAGAGATAGTTTGGTCTCTACATGAATCCTTATCTGCCTCCATTTCATCATAGTTTATACCAGTTATCTGCATTATTAATAATCTCACATGCTGTATGTGTTTGATGTTTTTTGGTCTAAAAACTGCAGATAATATTAAAAAGGCACTTAATATGGACTCAATGTAATCTTCTGTAGGATAACTGTATCTGCCAGCATCATTACCCTACAGGGTTTAAGAGACTTAAACATTTACTTGTCCAAAGTCCATTCTTACTTGCCCCTATACAAATAGATTTATTTATTTATCATTACCAAATAACAAAGGCTGAAGTTAACGGTTTGTTTAATCGTAATTTCAGTAAATTAATCAGAACATGGGCAGAGTATGTCACAGATACGAAGCAATAAACATTCTTGCATGTCGAAAATGGTGTAACTTCTACTCATACATGGACTTCTTCACTAGTAAGTGAGTGAAAGTACAGGCTATAAAAAATCAATACAGCATAGTATCGAGATATTTTTGTGCATCACTATCGTATCATTACACAGTGTCAAGTATCAAATTCTTAATATAAAAATTATTAATATTAAAAATACAAATTTAACTTTAGGTACCCTACTAGAATTACTATGATTAATTGCTTTTTCAGTCCATAGGATGAATTTTTCTGCATGAAAATGATTAAAGTCAGATGAACAGACTGAAAACTTTGTCTTACTGGATAAAACAAAAGTTGACATAGTTTTCCTTTGGAGACAATGTGCAGTTGAAAAAAGGTAATAAATTACAATATATTTTACCGAATACTTAGCATATTGCAACACATTTAAAATCGCAGTAATATTGTGATTAAAGTGTTGTGATGTCATGTCCTGGGGCCTCTGGTGATTCACACACCTGATTGATAGCAACTTCACTGCATAATGCATCCTTTCAGATTTTAATGAATCAGCGCTGGTTTCAGTTTGTCATTTGCTAACTGATAGTTACACGTAACTACATGCATGATGTTCCCTTTCATCTTGAAGGCATCCCTGGGGAAGAACTGTGTTCATCCCAAACACATTTTTTTATTGTGATATGTTGTCCCTAGGATGACAGGACACTGTTAGTCTTGAGCCTTATATTCAAATTCTTTTTTACCAGTTGCCTAATCAGGCAATCCAGGAAAAATCTCTTAGATACCTTTATTTATTTATTTTTATAAAAGAAATTCAATTTTTTCACTCTTGTCAATTACACACAGGTCCGAACACACACATGCACACACAGGACCTATACATGCACTAAGTACATGCACATATTTGGTCCGGACGGGGACTTGAGCAGGCGACCCTCCGGTTCCCAACCCAAGTCCCTATGGACTGAGCTACTGCCACCCCCACTGTGTCTAAGAGATTTTAATATACTGTACGTATCTATATTTTGAAACACCCTGACCACCAAATAATCTATAAACAACCAGCCTCTCCGAAAAGTTGCCTAAGTTTCAGACGCACCTCGTGGTCAACATACTGACATGTGAGTCCAACTGGTGTAAAGAGACAAAAAGAGTCTCAAGAGATTCTTGTGAAATATATTCACACGCTGAAAGTCTAAAGAAAGAAAGAGAGCTCCACTGATATATTTAATGTACAAATCCAGGTTCAGCAGCTTTGAATTCTTTTATAGTCTCTCATTGAGCTTTTGTAAAGGTGTGTAATGTAAAGGACAGTAATAATAAATGAGGCCTCGTGTCTTTGCCTGTATCATTCTGCAGATGTTGACAGACTGATGTGTTCACCCATCTGCAGCCGCTGTTTGTTTCCTGTTCCCATTTTTCTAAATTCTTCAGTTAATTGGGATGGGGAGAAAAAAACATCTACGCTGAGCTCAGCTGTGTACACTTGCACACCCCATGCAGCCAGACCTTTACACCACACACACACAAACCACACACACCCACACGCTCCAGTATCCTTCAGTCAGTTTCTGTGTCGTAGTTTTATAGAAGAGTATTTCTAGTTTAAGCTTGGAGCTCTTTGATCAGCTACACTCACACTGATATTTGCCACGTACTTTGAAACCATGCAATCGATTCGGCTGAAATATCCCGTCTTTTGTGGAACACATTCTCACTTATGTCATTTCACATTCCACAGTGGCTTACATTTAACTCTTACTGCTGTAAAGAAAGAAAATAACCCTGAACCTCTCCCTTCATCTGTACGTAAAGGCAAATATAACAATCAATTTTTAAATTATAGTTTTCATAATAAAAATATTTGCACAAGACTGTATCTCAAACCCTCACTCAGTGTTTGACACTTGGATTTGAAACTAAAGACAGAATTAAGATGACACTACACTTACCCCGAATGCAGGATTGATCGATCCCTGCGCTTTGAGTCCCAGCTCGATTTTCTCCTCTGTAGTGAGACGCATTCTGATAAAATGAAGTGAAGTGCTGTAAAGTTGCCTCTGGACTCTTAACACATCAACAAACACACACGGCTGGAACAAAGACTCTGACTGACCGCAGACCAAAGAGGACAACCTGAACAACCACCTCACGTCGCCCAGGAAACCAAGTGTAAGGGTCAGAGAGAGAGAGAGAGAGGCTCGGTTATTTTGTAATCTCCTCCGCGGCTCTGAAACGTTTGCGGTCCGCTGCTGAGAAATGTAGGCTTTCGTTACTCTGAGTTGCGGTCATGTGCCTGCTGTTGTGTGACGATGGATCCTATGAGGGGAGGCGAGGGCATTTGTCACATGAATCTATAATTTGTCATCCTCATTAAAAGAAGGTTCTCTCTTATCAAAAGTTTGACAGCATTTAGGTATAAGTGTCACTGTGTGGGGTTTGAGTTCTTCTGACTCTGGTATTTGAGTTGATTCTTGGCTGTTTCACTTTTCATTTTTATTAGGATACAGCAGTTCACCTGTGCTACACTGGACACCATGTCATTATGAGTCATATTCTGATAGTTGGGTAGGATGACATTGTCATTAGTATCAGCTCATGTCCCTTACAGATCATTGTGTTTCACTCCACAACTAAAGCCCTGTGATGCTGCATTCAGGTCACTCGCCTCCAGCCTCCTGTTTGAAGTTCTGCATCTTAGTTACAACTTTTAACCCTAGTTCAAACCAGAGATTCACAACAAGATTAAAGAGATGGTGTGACATGACACTCAGCTGGTCAAATGGCCAGCGGCTGGTTTTAAAGCACGTCATCTGTTTCAACAGCCAATCAGCTTGCAGTGAAGTCCACTGGTCAGGTCAAAATGACTGCAGACGGTGTGTTGGCTTGCTGCAGCAGGTGCTCTGTCCCCTCCGAGCCCTCTGTTTCCGTCCTCATGGTGTGCCGGTGTCAGACGGTGGGTCACTAGGGCTGTCAAAATTGCTCAAAAATGACGTTTGAATATTCCTTCTAAAAATAACTCATAGGTTCGAACCATTCAAATTTTTTTTTTCGCATTATGTCGCATTTCACATTATTATTATGTGTATTTTTATTTCAACATAAACGTCTTTGAAAACATTTACATACCTACACATTAAAACACATAAAACAATTATCTATAACATTACGTTATAAACGACCGCGGACCTCTCACTCGCCCCCCCTCTCTGACCCGTCAGGCCACACCGCCCGCTGAAGCGCTGTGAATAGCCTTGAAGCGAAGCCAGTTTCCTTTCGGCGCCCATGTTAACTGATTGTGTTATCCACACCGGCTGCGCCATGCCGCGCAGCTCCGTGGCCGCTTCCACCTCCCACTCGCAAAGAGGACAGCTGTGGTGGTGGGGGGTTTTCTTCCCTCCACAATCGAATATCAATTTCACATTCGAAGGTCCATTTTGTTTTCAAATTCGAATTTAAATTCGAATTTAGAATATTCATTGACAGCCCTATGGGTCACTGCTGCTGCTCGCTGTATGTGCTTATGTCCCGCCCATACACACACATTCTCATTGACTGATGAATTGGCGCTGGTTATTTATTGCGGTGTATTGATTATGAATACAGTCCATCTGATGCTGGTTTTGTTTCATCACTGTAGCCAGTATCTTACTATCACTATCCTCATTCAGATTTTAAGAAGCTACAAATTATATTGAGCCACAACATAAGTCTGAAAAGCTGCAAATAGGAACGGAAGTACAGAAAGTTGTTGACTAGAGATGATACACGTCTCATGGTGGTCACTTCCTGTCAACGTTACAGATCAGAAGTACAGAGAGTTGTTGACTAGAGATGATACGCCGTCTCATGGTGGTCACTTCCTGTCAACGTTACAGATCAGAGGTACAGAGAGTTGTTGACTAGAGATGATACACCATCTCATGGTGGTCACTTCCTGGAAGCTTTTTACAATGTTGCAGAATGGGGCATTGTAAATAGTTTCAACTCGTCTCGCCACAAATCATTGGTCTGAACTAGGCTAAAAAATTTACAACGTTATAACAATATTTGCTTTTAACTAGGATCTTTTATTGTATCTTCCCTTTTCCTGTATTTATAGTTATTTATTCTGTTTATTTATGTCTTTGTCATTGTGTCTTTTCCTTAAACTTTTTCCCTTTAAGTTATGTTCGTGCTCTTATTTGCAACAGCAACTATGAGTGCAATTACATGAACATGAATAACCTGTTAAAGACGTTTATCCTGGTTATGATCATATTTGGGACATGGTGTTAACATGACTACACAGAAATCAGGTTATTCATATTCCCTGTATACATCCCGATTACTTTCGGAGTACTCCAGCTGGCCTAGTCAGGTTTCTCATAAAAGGAACATGGTGTTTCCATGCTCAAACACATAAACAGGATACTCCATAAACCCGATCATAAACGGGGTTATTCACATCCATTAAAAAGCACTCTGTGTTTACTCCTGAAATGTAATGCTGCCTATTGTTTATCAGTTTAATGAGAAAACACTGTTTAATTACTTATTTGCTATAATGCTGAACTTAAATTCTGAATGTATCAGCAAATGTTTACCAATAATGTCAGGGTTTCAGCCAGTGTACTGCAAGCCACTCCGCCCGCCCAGCGTAAGCATCAAGGAATTTTTAAAAGATGTGTTTTGAGATCTTTATTTAAACTACAGTCACCTAAAGAGTAAAGTAAAACAACCTGCTAACATTAATGGCAATGAAATTGAAACTGACTGCTCACACACACACACACACACACACACACACACACACACATAGCCCAGCACAGAGCTGTCAGCCAGGGACACTTTAAGGGTTTCACCACGAGACAATGTTATGTTTGGGTATTTGCTAACTCACGCTCTCTGTTCAATCCTGCAGGTCGGGGTGTGACCTGGCTGCTGTCCAGGATGAGTGGCAGGGACTGAAAATCCTGGTCAGCCACAATTTCAGGGACAAGTTGGTTTAGATAAGTAAGACCCATCTTATTTCCACTAGAACATCCTGGAGTTGGTGCAAATGATGTTGGTGCTGCCCATTTCAGCTGCTGGGCCCTTACCACACACGATGGAGGAGAGGGTGGTTCCAGAGGAGCCTTTGTATTTTGTTGTTTCCCTGTTAAATGTGTTATTTAAATTTCTTTCTGTGCTCCTAAATTTTTTCACTAGGAGCACATGTGCCCTCCACCTCTGGGAACGTTCCAGTTTTGCATTTAATTTCCTTCTTTATAATGTCTGCACACCTGTAATGTTCATGTGAGTGTGGAGCAGTAAGCCTGCATGTACGAGGGTTTTTACTATCTTCCTTATAATCTGGTATTTTGTGTACATTAAACTTTGTTATATTATTTCTTGCTATTACAGAAACCACTCTCTCTCTCTCTCTTTCTCACTCTCTCTCTCTCTCTCTCACACTCACACACACACACACACACACACACACACACATATACAGTGTCCTGATATTCACAGCTCATCTTACCTGGGCTTCTGTGTGTAATTCAAGTATTCTAAAGGCTGCTGTTTCTTCCTGGTTGTGGTAAATGAAGACCATTGTTGAGCTTAGTCCCTGGATGACCAGTGTATTCCTTCTGACTGAGGGTGAATCAGATGTGCAGATGCACCCTGTGCTTTACAATCTAATTGTCAGCTGCAAAACCGGGTACAAAATTAACTTTGTAAATGTCCAGTTAATGTTCAATTACTACCAACCACCCAATAGATTACCATACTCAGTGGTCGAATTGTTAATTTTTAACAAGGGGTATGCAATGTAGCTTTGATTTTTTGCATGCACACATAATCAAATATGACACCACAGATGTGCAAAATTAATCAAGATAAAGAAAAATGGCATGACCTATACCTGCTGCCTTTAAAAAACACAAATAATGCAGTAGGGCTGTACCCAAATATTCGGATATTCGGATATTCATTTCTATGGGTAGGTATTCGTTATGAAAATTTGGTATTAGATATTCGTTTTTTTATTTACTTATTTTTTATTTATTTATTTTTAATTTTTACATATTTTTGTTGGTGCTAAATGTAGTCTTTTTGTTGTTGGTAAATGTAGGCCATCAATAAAAATCAAAACTTTTGAATTGCATTGTTAAAAATGTGAAAATATAGTATAGCCTACCAATGAAGCTTGTGCGCACGGCACGCTTGAGCACATCCGTCTGAGGCTGTGGATCAATGCCAAGTTTTACCACTTTATCACTATTCCCTCTAACTTGTAGCTGTGTTTTTGTTATCTTTTGAATTTAATATGAATTATGGAACCGTTTTTGTCAACGTTTGTTTCCCCCTTTTTGTACAATAAATTATTGTTTAAAGTTTCAACAAGTTTCTTTTGGAGTGCGTGACACAAGTGTGTTTTGAAAACGACCGCGGACTGTCACCTGCTCAACGCATCAGTACCTTCGGATGCC